CGTTATATATTTAATTTTAGAAAAGTGTGATCTGAAAAGTGTATTACTGTAAACAGACACTAATCGAACTAGTATCGGCGCCACAAATAACTAGAAAGGTGCAAATGCGCTTGATCGAAATTAACGCACATATAAAACTGAACAATTACCTGCAGTCTGACTATCTTGACCATACCCCACAGTATTTGAATTCTGTTGTTGAAGTGGCTGTCTTGGCGTTGACCATCTTGGTGGCTGGGTTGTCTGTGCATCTAGGTATAGAGTGGATGTTGAGCATGAGGCTCCTGAGGCTGAACTCAACTAGCCGGGTAAAACGGAGTACTACTATTGAAATCAGATTCGGCAAAACGTGATGAAGCGTTTTCTTCCATAATGTTGTTGAATGCTTCATTAGCATTTAAACGTCTTCTTGAATTCATGTTAGGATGTTGAACTTCGTGTGTAAAGTTGAAGAAGACTGTTCACATCAGCACAGATGCAATGACAAACATAGACTGACCCTTCCCTAGTTTGTGTACACGAAAGGTTGTCGTATGGTGTCGCTGTTGTGACTACCTAGCTGTATCATTAAAACGTGTGCCTAATTCTTCTTTTTGTATGTGTTTGTAAATACACAATATGCAAATATCACATATAAAAATTAATTTTCAATCCTTGATGTGCATTTGTTTCAATAAAAGCTGAAGACATCAAGTTTACCTCGACTTAAGTAAGAATACAGGCCGGTCTAGAGGGCCTTTCTATTCCAGTGAGGTCAACAATGTGTCTTGTCACACTTGACAATGACAAAAGTTATTCTTGTTTCACGATTATTGTCCCATAAAATATACTATACTGTATTTGAATCACTTTTCCGTTATCTGCGAAGTTTCAAGCATTATTATAATTTAGTTAGTATTGCTGAAGCACGTCGAAATTAGCATGTCAGAACCACTGTCAAAACAACGCTTATATGAAGGCGGCCACTGTTTTAGATGGATGGGAAAGTCCTCGTTTTACAACCACACGTTTTACGGTTACTGGGCTGATGATGATGGGAAAAAAAGATTGAAGTCGAAACAGGTAAGCATGCTTTTGCACTGTTATGTTTTCCATCAGGAACACCAGTATGATATGGAAGATTTAAATGTCTACACAGACAGAAATTATAAAGTTCTTGGCAGACGGTGTTAGTAGGCAATTGGCATTGTATTGCTTTACAATGATTTGTTTTCTTTGTGGGAGGGGGGGGGGGTCAATACCACACCAACAATGTCTATGTGGCTGATAATAACAATGTCTTATAGAAAAACAGAAAGTGGGATATGATCATATGGCACTGTCATCTTCAAGATACACAAAACTTACAAATAAAAAAAATGTTGCTAATAAATTTGCTTGATTTTAAGTTTAAAGGCTGCTCAACATTAATACAACCTAAAATTTGTCCAAATCTCAGTATTTTGTTCACTGAGTCAGTGTATATTTATTTCTGTGCAGAAAACGTGGGTTAACCATACAGTTTCAAAAGAAAAACTAGGGTATAGCACTGATAGTGTTTTAGAACTTTTTACCAATGGTTCTTATAGCAAAGATTTGTCTTTGTATCACAAATCTTTGCTGGTGACATAGGGGTAATAAC